GAAGCCTGGAGGACATCAACCAAGGGCCGTCCCATCCGAAGCTCTGGTGAAATAGGACTGCAAGCAACTGGGACCCGCTTTCGACCAAGAGGAAGTGGACAAAAAAAAAGCAACTTCCCCACAAAGGAGACCTGGGTTTCCAAACCTCTTTCAGAAACCCATGATTGTTGGAGAAAGCGTAACACTTGCAACCATGGGTGTCCTGTGGGAAAAATAAAGGGCCCTGGTCAGTAGAACACAAACCATCTAAACCAGTGCCTTCTATTTCTAATCAAACTAACCTAAAAAGGACACCTATGCTTGCAACAGGGCTTTCATGCGGCTGAGAGCTCGACAGGAGCCGCTGGCTCCTCTGCAAGAGTCTTCAACTTTTCGTGGGTCCAAGAAATATCCCGTCGAGCCCAAGGATCCATGACCAAATGGCCATAAAGAAGCTGGCTTTCCTGAGATTCCCCACTAAAAGTCAAACACTTTTAGTGTTTTAAATGGAAACCCAACCATGGTCAGAGGGGTAGTTCAAGGTATTTCGTACCAAACCGACCCCCCAAAAAATGGTAAAAAGGGGGGGCCCGGGGGGTGGCCTGTTGATGGTTGCCTGTTCTGGTTTTTATGTTCATCTCAAATCTGTGTTCCCCCTTATTCGTTTTGAAAAGGGTGTTTTCGGGGAGCTTATTTATCGTTTTCGTTAAGGTAATCAATTGGGTAAATTGTCGCCTTGTTCATTGTTGGGCTGGGGGCCGACATTTTTTTCATTTGAAAGAGGTGACCCTTTTAGTAGTTATCAAGTTCTGGGGTGTTGGTGGTGCATTTGTTTTCGTTTGTCGCAGTCGTTGGCATGACTTGTTCGAACAACTCTGGCTTCGTTTGAGCTTTTGACATTTCCAGTCAGTAGTGCCTGTGTGATTTGCCTTCTTAGCACGATGGCGCCTAAGCAGAATGTGAGCGGTGGCTACTCCGATGCTGTTGCTCATGATGCTCATGATGAAAGCCAGACACCGAGCGAGATGGAGCAGATGGATGCTTTGATTGCTCAGTTTGTAGCCTTGGGATTTCAGGACATTTTGGGAGATGTGGCAGCATCCTCCAGCGATGACTTGCGAACCCTCCTACCCAAAATGGTTGAGACTCAAGAGAAGATGACCGAGACCTGCCGTGCTTTGGCAAAGGAGCTCAAGCAACGTGATAAGGAATCGAATGCCGCTTCTGCCAAGGCAAAGGCAAAAGCCCGTGCAGAGCAGAAGAAGCGGGAGGGCGAAGAGGCTCGCAACAAGCCTATGGAGATTTTCGTGCAGTTGTTCGGGTACTCGTTCAAGGTGGTCATCCAAGGCTCAAGTACAATCGGGGAGCTTCGTCGCACCATCGTGACCACTTTCAACACCTCCGGCTTTGGTAAGATTAAGAAGAACCAGACGAACAAGATGGTTTTGACCATGGACGGTGAGGAATTGACACAGAAGCCCAGAGCCACAGCGTTGAAGATGGGCATCGCTATGGGATGCACTCTCCAGGCTTCAATCGGCGAGAACATCTTGGCCGGCAACACGGGGGCTGACTTCATGGACGAGGAGGAGGAGGAGGAAGAGGAGGAAGACGTTCTTGACGAGAACAACTGAGAGGGAGATTCACCACTTGTATTTCCCTGTGACATCGTTCAAGCATAGTGGGCAGTAAAACCGCACTTTCCCCATCACATGCTCATGTTTGAACATTTCACAGCCGTGTGTGGTGAAAGTTTGCCCAATTTGCGGAAGTCGATGTCAGCATCCACCATGTGATGGCTGCAAACCAACGAGAAGCCCGTGTCTCTCTCAAAAAGACGTTCAACAATCAGGAGTGCGTTCTGAGCTTGTTTTCAGATGTCCGAAGTTTGCCATGAACAGATTGAGAACATACACATGACTCACCTGTCAGACCAGTTTGCTCATTTTCAGTAGGTAGAGACGCATTTAGTCACGATGCCCTCTCTCGTCTTCGTTGCTCATGACGACAAGACGGTCAAACCGTTCTTCATCGAAAACGTTGGCGTCATCGGAAGGACTACACCTGAGTGGCTTTTGAACAAGGAGGACTTGATGAAACTCTCCATCAACCAGCTACGTTTGCTATTGAGCGAGGATAGCAAACTCAAGTTGAAGACCAACTCCAAAAAGAACGTCGTCGTTGAAGTTCTCATCAGCACTTGGGAGAAGACAGTCCAGAAGATGGAAGAGGATATGTCCTCTTCAGCAGATACGAAGCCGTCCTTCCAGTCAGGTCATGATCATGGAGAACCTGGAGGAGATGATGGTCAAGATGAGGATGCTCATGAAAGCAACGGAGATGGAGGAGACGATGGAGGAGACGATGGAGGAGACGATGGAGGAGATGATGGAGACAGCAGCAGTGATGACGATTCTGGAGACGATGACTTGACGCTAGGCAAGTTCATCACTATCACCATCACCAACAACGTGATGGTCAATGTGAAGAAACGAGGCTCACGTCAATTTCGTGTCAATCCGACTTGGTCAGTGAAGCAGTTGAGCGTCTTAGTCTATGGCAGTTGGGGCATTCCGCCACATCGGAACTACATCAGGAAGAGCAACGGCGAGGACACCAACCCTCACTTGAGCATTGCCCAGAACATGATTGCCGACAGGGCCACCGTCTATGTGGCTTTGACTGGTGGGTTGAG